ATGCTGTAGTCGGCAATCTTCCGTTTTGGTATAGAGTGGGATAGGGAGGGGGTGATGCTTGCAGTCGAACGGTGGGACGGACGTGCAGCTCATTTTTTGGGCACGCATACGGTGCTGCAGGGATTTTTAGGTGTACCTCTTCGGGCTCTTGNTTTTCTCGTTATTTGTGTGCGTGTTCTTTATATCCTCAGATGGCTCTAGCACTTTCGTGACCACGGGCTGAGAGTCTTTTGCTAGATTTTGGCATTTGGCAACTGACATACGGTTTAATGTGAAGACAACAACAACAACAACAACTAGCATTTTGTGACCACGGACCGAGTCTTTGCCAGATTTTGGGACTGGCAACTGACACGTGAAGTGAAGAAAAAGAACAAACAAAAAACCCGCGTACAAAATACTCGAAAATTGGGAATTCGGAATTGCTGCGCTGACCGCGATGCAACGCAGAGACTACGAACACCCACCTGAGACCAGGAGCGAATCGTCTCCGGCGTGGTGCACGAAAATTCTGTTCCACGAGCAGATATCTCCTGGGCTGGTGCCTGCTGCTTCGCTGAGCTCGTGCACAACACGGGCTGCTTGCTTCCAATCTCTCGCTCGTGCAGCTCCTGCAGGAGAAGAAAGGTGTTCCGCTGCATCATCCATACCTGGATCAGACCAGAAGTTGGTCGAGTGGAGGTCCACCGATGCTGACATTAGATCTCCAAGCATACCGTTGATGAAAGACTTGGCCTCCGAAGATCGCGCGGCCAAAGTGCCAGGCGTGAGCTCAACGCTCAGGCCTTCCACATTTGGCTTGCGCATTCGCGCGCCATGTCTCGCACGCAGTCTGGTCAGACCGCTGGTTCTTGCCTCCTCTTCCGCTTCGTCGTGGCTTTCGCTGTGGTCGACCAGCCCCGGGGCGAGCTTCAACGGCGATGGAAAAGGCGAGAAGTTTTCCAGCCCGAATTGCTCTTGGTCCTCCACTATCGCGGCCGCTTGAGCATGGGAAGCTGATGCAAAGAAACAAGCTCCGTGGTCTTCCGAGTGCGACACAACCTGCACTGCGTCCGGCGAAAGGAACTGCTTCAGCCGAGAGGACGCCTCGTGTCCGTTGCCGTACCGCGCACACGCCAAGTGCGGCGCACGCGCTTCGTCTTGGCTGTGACGGAGTCTCTCTCCGCTCCAAGTTGCGGCGGCCTCGAACGCCCCCGCGTGGCCGTCGAAGTCGTCCTTCGCAGTTGTCAAGAGCGCATTCTCCACCAAATCTAGCGCAGGAGGGCTCAACCGCCCGGCTGCCCCTGCCGAGGGACACAAGAATACCAGCAGCGCTAGACGGTGAGTTTTGTTGAACATCCTTCTCTCCTCGTAGCAGCAGCTCCGTCCAAAGCTCCTTCTCTCTCTGGACGCTATCCGCCCGGACCCAGCAGGCTATGGACGCGTGCAACCTCGCTGCAATGATGTGGTCAAATGCACTTTCGGTGGCACATCAGATAGATTCAGCAGAGAGAAGAAAAGTTCCAAACCATGGCAGACCGGTGCGGAGAACCAAGAACCACGGAACGTTTTTTGTGGTATGCATACAAAACGGTCTTGTTGTTGTTGTTGTTTCTCACATTAGCTCTATGGTCCACAAAAAATGGGGAGCCCGTGGTCTCAAAACCCGGCACATACGACGCCGCGAGAAAACAAAAAACAAAAATAGGATACAAACCACTCGGAAAAAGAAAACAAAATGATCGAAAGAAAGAAAAGAACAGGTATCGCTGTTGTGTCGTGAAGATCCAATATCAAAGTACAGCAGAGTAGACACGCACCGGTCCCCCCCCCGGTGGTCTAGTGGGTAAGCCTCGTAGCCTGATAGGGGCCAGGTCATGGGTTCGAGTCCCGGCAGATTGAGTTTTTTCCTAATTAACTAAAACCTGGTCCAAGTTGAAACCCACGCGCTGCAAAGCCCGTTGAAAGTAAACTTGATCGACTTCATAAGTCGCGAGGGAAGGGATTGCTGTACCCTTCTCGCGATAAAAACACCTCTACCGTAACCGCAGGAGGGGGTCCGACCCCCCCCTCCTACAAGACCCCGGTTGGGTTGTCTAGCTGGTCGAAGTGGAGGATAGGGGCCAGCAGCCAGAGGGGCAGACGACAGAATCCAATGATGGGAGAAAAACAAACAAAAAACGAAATACATGCTACAAGAGCGAGAAGCCAAGATGGGGCTGATCAAGGAAGGGCTGATATGCATACAATGCACCAGAAGTAAAAAGAGAAAGGAGATGGACTCTTGCCCACAACAGAAGCATCGGAACGCAAGGGAGCAAGCCAAGCATACGGGGAGAAGTAGACTAGAGGAGATGAAGAGACAGGAATCGTTGATTCCTTTATTATCCTTGCAGCAATCATGAGGGAAGAAGTGCAACGTGCGAAAAAAAATCCTAGATACTAGTCTACAGGACTGTCAAGTGTGTGGCATCGACGATCTACGTGCGCGCAGCAGAACTATCCACGTCTCCACATAGCGATATCTCGACGCACACAGCAGAACACCGCAGTAGGCAAAAACTGCTGTCGTGTTGAGTCTGTTACCAACATGGAGATATCGCTCTATCATGCTCTCGGGAACAGTAGAATTATGTGGTTGGTAGTCAATATATACTTCAACGTCATGTTAAAACTCACCTCTCCGCACAGCTTGATCACTGCTGTGATGCTCGGCTATACTCAAGAGGTGTGTCTAGCAGCACACGTCTCACCACGAAAAATGGGAAGACTGTCGCCACAACCAATAGGACCAAAACACACTGACAAGACGGTCTGCCACATCTCTGACTCCGATACATGCATAGGGGCTGTTAGCAGTTCGACCGTTGAAGTCCTCCTCTCCCGCTGCCCCCCCTATGCATACACGCACAGCGACGAACAAACTCACGGAGCGGGGAGAGGCAACCGCGCGCGTGCCTTTGTTCCACCGAGACTGCTGCAATGCCATGCATTTACATTTCTTCTAAGGCAAAAAAAGACGATCACAACAACAACAACGAAGAGCAACCTCATGCCCCATAGGTCGTCTTGTCTTGTTCTCCCTCATATCCCATACACGGCAGTTGGGACTAAATCAAGCTTGAAGTAACTGGTTGTACTTTTATTCCCTCGGTAAATACCCCTCCCCCCTCATTTTGCCCATTTCCTCCCTAGGTGTACTTTGTCTTCCCGTTCCCTTTCCCCGGCTGTCGCTCGGTCATCGTGACGCGTCAGCCGCAAGCTTTTCGTGGCAAAACCAAAACAAACCTGGACAATGATACACTGCTGTCTGCTGCCTGCCACCCTTTTCCTGGTCACTTCAAGGTGGCCCTACCATCTTCCCACAGCAACCTTGATCGTTACCTACGGTACCCACCGTCGTAGCGGGCAAAACTGAATTCTTAACTATGAGTGTTGCTGTGTTTAGGGTTAGTGAACATCTCGACGCCAAAAAATAGAAAATCAATTCCCGCTCCCTCCAACCAGATCCACACTGACTGACTACCGACAGATAATTGGGGAGAGGCAGGGCAACAGCCATATTTCCCGCAACTGCGCCTAGTTGAAACATGTCAATAGGGCGCGGCGTGTGGCTTTAAATGTCTCCGCATGTAGTTCTACGCATAACACTTCACGACGGGACCTCTAACCTGCCACCGCCTCGTCTTTTGCGAGTAAACAAAAAACAGGGACCGCTCATACAGATGAAATACACAAAGTGGCGGCTCGTGAGCCAATGCCCGATAACAGCCTTAATACGTAGTCGACGGCTATTGAGCCTGCGCGTAAGGGAACGCGTATGAGGGCGCAAGGCTGAAGACATGCCCCGCCCTGCACGACACAGCCCCCCGTCTGCCTGGAACAGGCTTGCATCTATCAGACAGCGGTCTTTGCAGGTCGTCGGTTGTGAAGAAAGCACCCGACGATAAGCCTATCTGCGAGCTCTTGACAACCTCATTATTTAGCCGTCCCCGCGATTGGCAGGGGATTTATTCGCCGATCGCGCTGGAGCAGCACCAGCACCGCCATTTAGTCCCCACAAGAAAAAGAAAAAGCAAGTGTTGCTCGGGTGTCCGTTTGTCACTTGTCAACGACCCTGCTCGCCAAGCAGCGCGGGTACACGCAGCATCACAAGTGTCCGGGTTCCTCTAAAACGTCCACCCCTTCTTCGTGTAGACGCACCTGGAAATGCGGTTTATATCACAAAATCTGTCGTTGGGTAGTTCGACAACGGCAGGGGCGGAAGCGGACGCGTGCAAGTGGGTGGGCGGGTGGGCTCGTGCTCAAGTCTCACCGCTACGAAAATGTGAGGCACGAACGTCGATATGATCAAAAAGTTCTCATACGCGCGTTGGTGCCCTGGGCGGGGATTCTATACCTCGAACAACAACAAAGGCACAAGTGGGTGCAAGTCGGCGTGATGGATGAATAGTAGGCAAGAAGATGCCGTCAATCCTTCTGGCACCCCGGCTGTCCTGTATTTCGTCACCTCGAAGAGAGAGGGACTCGACCGTCACCAACCCTCAGCTCACGAAGCATACTTCCTTCGACTGCGCGGCCGCCTTTTCATGCTCCGCTGAAACAAAATCCGTCAACATGAACCACCTGCCCCCATCCCGCGTCCCCGCCGCTTCACCAAAAAAGAAAGAAGCACAAAACTCACGACAAGTTTCTCCCGTCCTGTTTTGTACGCATGCCGCGAATGTGTCCAACGTTTTACCCACCCGCTCGTTGCTCGTCCGGCACCGGAACGAAGCTACGCCCAACATACCCACCCATGTTCCATCGTCCACTTCCGTGCCGTGCCTACAGCCGCCCCCACTACAAACCTTCAGTAGGAAGGAACGATTGGTCACCGGTGATCGGTCCTGTGGATACAGCGCTCCGTCCTCTCGAGCACGCGTGATCAACGGTCGAACCGCCAAGGTATGCAAAACATACAGAAGTACCCCCCGGCACCAACCTTTTCCACGACACATACCCTCCCTTACCTGCTGCTCCCTTTCCCTCGGGACCCTCCCTCCCGGATCTAGTCCTCGCCACCGCTCTTCCGGAAGGCTAGCGTCACGCCGCCCGCCCGGCAGATGCGCCACTTGTCCGACAGGTACGTCACCTCCGCCTCCACCTTGCCCGCCCGCAGGCTTGGCAGCACGCGCCGCAGCAACCCCTTCTTCGTCGGCGGCATCTCCACCAACACCTTGCGCTCCGCCGTTTTCCTGGACGACGGTGATGGGAGCGGGAGCGGGGGCGGCAGGGGGGGCAAGAGGGAGAGCGGGATGGGGGGCACAAACTGAGCCGGGGGGATGTGCTTGTTGGTATTTGGCACTACCACCGGCCGAGCCAACAAACTGACCTAAACAGAGGTACGACAAAAGCGCTTCACATTTCGCGGAACGGAGGGCCAGATGCGAGTGAGTGGATCATTCTCCGAACGGCATCGACCTACGCTGACAGGCCCTGAGTGAAGGAGTGTGTGGCCCTGAGGACTGACTCGTGGGGAATTAGCCTCAAAAAGACAGTTTCAAAAGATCGCACATGGTCACCTACGAACACACAAAGCCTCGAGGGCTCGGGCTCAATCTCAGCCGTAGAACACAGTTTAAGGGCCCACCTCAAGCCCTTGCGATCTCATAGCAACCTTGACATTGATCTTACCGGTAGAACCCATTCGAGGCAGGCTGGTCCGCCAAACAAGTGCAAATGACTACTTTCCGCGGGAAATGCGGCGGGGGTGAGGGAGGTGACAACAAAAATCGACCCATAGGCTATGAACTTGTCTCCTTGCTCCTATCCTGGTGCTACACCATCCGCTGCAACTGATACCCACCACAACGGCAGCTATCCGTACAAACAAAGAAGCATCATGCCCTGCGCCGGGCAAAAAAAAAAAGGCAAGAAAGGGTTGCTCAACACGACATAACGGTGCCATACAATACACCAGGCGAAGACCCGACAAGACGCCACACAACGCCATCCGAGCATACCGCACCTGTACGACCCCTTCTTGGCCACTCGCAGCGCCAGCGGCGTCAACCTCAGTCGGGCGCGGCAAGCGTTCAGCACGCTGGAAGCGCCCGTGTCCACCACCTGCCTTCGATCCGAGGTCTTGAAAAATCCGGAAAAGAGACCCTTGATGACGCGCCCGAGCAGCTGTTGATGCAGCGCCGGGGGGGGGGGGAACC